TGTAAATTTTCAGGGCATTTGTCAACCAAAGAAAAAAAAAAAAAAAAAAAAAAAAAAAAAACACGGTCATGTGCCTGACTGAACAGCTAGAAAAGGCCAGCCCGAGTTTCAACTGCAATTGAAACTCGGCCCCTGACTAAAGTGCGAAATCAGTGTTTCGAATGCCATTACAAACTGTAACCCTGACTGCGCCATAGTTATTTCATTATTTTATTCAAATGATTTAAGAATCTGTTGGATGCCACACTGTGGTAGGTCCCAGCGAGGATATTGGTGCAGATTGCATGCCACACATAACTCATCAGTGAATATGACACAGAGGTTGAGAGACTAGACTAGGACGATAGGAGTACTGCCCGTGGATAAGCACCCGTACATGGGCACCTGGGCCGCAGGCTTGACACCTCAAATTCTGGAGGCGCAAAAATTCTGGAGGCGCGAAACGGAAATGCGACCGAGGATCAAATTTATCAACGGCGGGCACAGCGTTTGACGTTTCCGCCCCGTTTTCTTGTGGCGACAAGTTTCAGACTGCAAGGCTGGGGCTGTGTACTGGCTGCTTAACCGCGATTTCGTCAAAACGGACATATTTTATTTTTTGAACGAAATTGGAAATCCAAACTGTGGCAAAAAATTGATCAAATTTGGGCCCCAGGCCCCCATAGGGTCCTTAAAATAGTGATTATGGTTCGCCCTCTAAGGGCCAGGTTCGTACCTAGTTAATTCTACTACGATCGGGTCTCAGCCCCTCAGCTTTAAACGAAATGTCGGTGAATAGGAACAGAATTTGGGGCCCAGGAGCTTCAATTAGTAATGTTACTCAGAATTTATGGCTAGATGATTTGGACTGTTAAGGTGGCGCTCCCAATGTGAGCTAACCACAACTTCTTGAATTAAGCGACGGGTACAGCAAGCCAATCAGGCTAGAGTTGCACTCTTTTCAGGCGCCATTGGGTGAAGAGGCCGTTAACTTGCTGTACTAAGAATTTTTTTTTTGGCTGCATGGGACGCTGGACCCGGTTTCCAGTAGGTGCAGCTCACCACCAATAGAATGGAGCAATTTCGAAAAAAAAAATAAAAAAAAATGATCAAACTTTGGGTACGGCCTTCAGAAAATGCCCTATCCCCTTAATGTATCTGGACTCAGCGTGAGTCCATATACATAGAGGGGATAGGGCGTTCATACATCCAGGGGGTACGACATTTTCAGAATGCCATACCCCCTGGATGTATGTGGACTCTGGTTGAGTCCAGATACATCGAGGGGGTAGGGCGTTTTCTGACCGCATACCCAAAGTTTGATCAATTTTTTGCCACAGTTTGGATTTTCACCTTTATTCAAAAATTAAAATATGTCCGTTTTGACGAAACCGCTGTTACTTAGTCAGCCATCCTCTAGCAGGCCAGCTGCTGGTGCTCCAATCTATTGGCGGGGAGCTGCACCTTCTGAGCGTAGGCCATCCGTGAAGAGGAGGTGATAAGAGCAAATATGGGCCACGCCGCTCTTCAGGGATGTCTAAAAAAGGGGCAGCTACCTGTTTAGACAACTTCTTTTCACGAATAGCGCTTGTGTAAACCCTGTATCCCGGCGGTGGTAAGAGAACCGTCAGGATTGAGGATTTATCTGTCGAGCTGCTCCATTCTTCAGGGATGTCTAAGATGGGGGCCATCCCTGAAGAGGAGGTGATAAAAGGAGCTCATCTTCAGGGATGTCTGAAAAAGGTTTGATTGATTTCAGTGCAGATAAGGGCCACACCGCTTATTCTTCTTTTTTTTTGTGAGGAGGAGAAGGAGGAGGGGGGGAGGGGGGTTGAACGTAGGCCTTATGCAAAGATGCCGACGAAGTTATCATGCCAGCCAGCCGTGAGCAGATAGCACGTATTACCTCCCCTAGAGCTTGTGCATTGAGGTTCTTGAGCTCCTCTTCCTTCTGAATCAAGCGGTCTGCATGGTCCCAAAAATGTCCCAAAGTGAGTGTTTCCACCTTGACCTCGGTCGGTCCCTGAAAATGTGGCACAGAAAAACACAAGAGATGATATTAAGATCCACAGTTGATGCCTTGCGCAAGGGCCTTTCAAAAAAAAAAAAAAAAAAAAAAAAAAAAGATCCACAGTTGATGATACACCGATCAATGAGCGGCAATGCACAGATGTATGGAGAAGGTGCGCTATTCAGGGTAATTTTCTGCAGAAGTGCAATCAGCAAGCCCTCATTGGGAATGATCTTGTCATTGCTCAGGATATGAAGTATTATGAACTCATGAGCTGTCTATCAACAGCAGCTACATGTGAGTACAGTCCAGGGGTTGAACTCATTGGGTCCCTCCCAAAACCACCTACCATCACGAGGGAAACACTCAGTCTGTTAGCTGGGACCATTTCTATGCTATATTATACTATATTGGAATATCAGGCTGGGCGCCCGAGATGCCTCTGGCTGTCTGGGTGGCCACTCCCGGTCAGGTCCAGGACAAAGTCCTGCACGAGGTCCTAGACGGCCCCAGCACAGGACCCAAACAGGAAATTTTGAATTAAAAAATCTGAAAAACGTGCATGTCGTGTAGAATTGCAATACAGAAAACTTTTGTCTGAGGATGAAAAAGTCATAAGAAATCAAATTAAGTTGCATCCAAGTTATAGCCCCCTTCCCCTCCAACCCCCCTCGACTCCCGGGCCCAAGCATTGGAAAACAAAAAGGGGCCCACATTTGTGGGCACATAAATCTCTCTTTTTTTTTTAAGACACCCCAACGGGAGGTGCTGTTGAGGGTTACATGAGCATCCCCCAACAGTACCCTCCTCAAGGGGGGCTCTATCTATTGGTTAAAAAAAAAAAAAAAAGAAGAAAAAGAAGAAGAAAGAAAAAAAGAAAAGAAAAGAAAAACAAACCAGTTTAAGACCTGGAGCCTCGTCCCACTAGCGTAGATTAACGCTACGGCTCCATCTTTTTCAACCACGTGCAGCGAGAGGTGACATCCGGCGATCGTTGATCCTTTTGTGTATCGTCGGCGCAGAGTGAAAAGAACCAATTTCGTTACGGTATCTGTCCGCCGGGTTTCGTTTTCATTTTTTTGCCCATTTAGCTAGCCACTTTGCGTTGGCGCGAAGCTGCAATATTAGGGAGGTCCCAGGGGGGGGGGGGGGGGGGGGG